ACATGGAACAGAGGTCACCCTGAAGAATATATGTTAAACATGCATAACTTTCAGCTTCCAGCTATTAAAGAACTACTATTACCTTCTTGCCACAGCATTAACACCACTAACTAGGTGGGCTAGAATTGGGCTGATGACACATATTCACCAGCCATAATATAGGCAATGAATCAAAAAGACAGTTCTGCTCTCTCTCTCTTTAAAACCCTCTGTGTATTCTACTTTTGTACAAGAGTATTCAAGGTGACTTATAGTAGTAAAAGAATGCAAATACATCAAAATGACAGGTAAAGCAGGGTTTTTAAGCTAAGGATCAACATGTAAATTGAACCTGGAATTTAACTGATAAGTAAGTAGCATAGTTACTAGACTGGATAGGACACATTGACTCTTCCAAATTCCCATGAGACAGATAGCAGTATTCTGCACTAGGTGAATTGACTTCAACGACAATCCCTTGTAAAGCATGTTGCAGTACAGAGAGAGAGATCACTGTAGACTCTATATATCTAGCACTTCATTTTTGAAATAGATCAAGTTAAAAGCTCAGAGGCATAAAACTGGCTATGTTGATAAAAGACTCCCCCCGCACACAAAATATCACAAAATAGTGGGCATAATATGAGCATACTTAAATACATTTATCTCCTATTGAACAACATACCACATAACAGTATTCATTCTTAATTTGTTCACAGCCTGTTTTGCAATTGCAGACATAGACTAGGATCCTGTAATAGCTAAGGGCCGGCCTGGAGGCAGTGACGGGGAGGGGCAGCCACACGTTGGGTGCCCCAACCCCACGCCAAGGACGTCATGGTGCTGCACACCATTACGCACGGTGTGTGATGTCAAGACATCGTTCCAGTGCAACCTGATGCACTGCACTGGAAAGGGCGCTAAAGAGCCGTGTGGCAGCTCTTAGGGTGCCCTTTTGCCGGCTCTGAAAGGAGCAGCATTTTGTTGCTCTTTTCTATTATTGTCGCAATAGTGTCAAAATTTTGACTAAGTAGTGATTGCAAATTTTTTAAAAAATTGCCTAACTGTTTTGTACTCAAGATAGCTACTTACTAAATAAAACACAGCATAACAGATTTAATTTTTCCTTCAGGTAACGATGGCTTCTTTAAACTAGTCAACAGCTAAATTCCAAGCTGCACATTATTCTGGCAAGCATTGATCATGTCAGTTTATATCAAGAATCATGAATATTGAATTTCTCAAGCACCCTGATTCAAGTGTATGTTGTTCTAAAAGCTTCTATTAGAGACCAGTTGCCCCAATGTCCTGGAGACAAAGTTATTACTGCTACACACCCTGTTGTTAAAAAGATATGTGAGGGTTGACTACTGAATTTCTGCACTTGAGAAATTTCATGTGTGGTTATTTTCTGTCACAAATTGCTGAGGGATCCATTTGCATGATTGTTAAAGGCCTTGAGACAAGAATTACTTAGTGCAATTATACAAGTTGCAATTATACAATACAGATCACATAAGATGATTATAATGGTTTCTTTTGGCTTTAAAATTCATTTAAATCCTTAAAAAACACACAACAGAAACAAACTTCAAGCCTGCACAAACCATTGAAATTGGGCATACTTTCCCCAAAATTTGTTCACACAGCAAAAGTTATTTTGACAGTCTTGTCATTACAAATCAGCCTCATTTGCCACAAAACATAGCGACTTTCTTTTAGGGAATTTAACAGGTAACATTTCGTATTAAATATTTGGAGGTGATATGAGACCAGAGCATAACTCCATCAATTCAATAAAATTCATGCATTCATTTTACATTTTAATGATATAAGAGATTTTAAAAAATTCAGAATAAGCAAAGGACAATGTTTCTAGATTGGAATCCTTTTGCAGGTTTAGGGAAGTTTAACCCTTTGAAGCTGCTGTGGTCCCAATCCAGATCAGACTTTGTTTACCCCCCCCCCCCAACAGATAAGGTTTTTTAAAATATATACCGGTATATATTGTAGGTATATCACAACCACAGCAAGAGGCAAATTTTCCTATCAGCTTGCTAGTGATGTAATCCAGATTGGATTGCCCACTAATATCTCTAAAGTATCATTTCATTTAGTGGATTTTCTAACTGTTTACCCTCCAGATTTTTTGAACTTCTAATTCTCATTAGCCTCTATGAAAACTGCCAGTGATCAGAAATGTTGAGAAACATACTCTCAATCATGTGGAGAGCACCAGGTTGGAGATTAGGAAGAACTTGATTGATAGTGCTTTATGCTAACCTGTGCAGTCAAAGTTCTGAGGAAGGGCTGAAATGCTCTATTAGATAACAGCAGTGGATGTGTAATCTGGTTCATTCTACGAAAAGAGGAATAGTATGTCATGTTGAGGGTTCCTCGTAATTTTCTTTCTTTGGTAAAACTTTCATTTGTATGTAATTAATTTGGATTTAGCTCATTAATTTTTCAAATTTCATTTTGTGTTTTGGAAAGCATTGTTTCAATGGGAGACCTTCTTTGCCTTCTACTATTTGTAACATTTGCATTTTAAATATGAATGACTGGAAACAGTCTTTTTAGTACTTCCTCATCACGTAATTCCAGACAACCCACAGAGAGATTAGACAAAGGGTCACATTTCTAGATGCAATTAAAATAGAGGTTTCCACTTCCCCTATTGTGACCAATAGGAGATCTGCACTGTCATCTCTCACCAGTATATTTAACAATTTAAATCTGAATTGTTTGCAATTTGCAAATTCTATAGAACTTTCCAAGGATGCCTGACCTGCCAGATTTTCAGAAGAAACAGACTTCTAGAGGCAAGAGGAAAAATTTTTTTAAAAATATCTCTGACCTAGAAATTCTGGGTCAAAAGTTTAGTGGCTTAATTGAAATCTTCTTTTCATCCTCAATTTGTCAGGAACTCACAATTCTGGCTCTCCTCCTTCCAAACTGCATGGCATTTGTAAGATTCTAGTAGTCCCTTTGGGTATCAAGCCTGCCATGTTTCTAAATGATAAGACTCCAATCTAATGAACAAAGGCAGGCAAAACACATTTTAGAGGTGATGGAGAAATCTGCCTCAGACTTTTTGAATTCGAATAAATGGCATGGAAAATGCTCAGGCACTCCCTTTTGTCCCTGTGAATAATACAATCCTAAGATATATAGTAATGACAGATAGACTAATTTTGTAGGAAGGAAAACAGACCAAAGCCCTGTTTGCATGGACCAAAATTGGCCCCTGAGCCGCCCCATTACCTGGCACTTCTGTTGTGATGCCTGGCAGCTGTGCGCATGCACATCCCACTGTGCTGCTTGGCATGCCTGGCAGCACGGGCAAGTCACTCACTCTGAGGTCAGAACGAGGTATCCGGTGGATGGCCATGTTAGTCTGATCTCAGAGTGAGGGATGTGTGGCAGATACCAACACACCAGGCAGCACAGGGGAACACATTGGAAACAGCCACAGCACTGAAAAAGAGAACAACAGAGCAATAGATGAGTTTTTAAAATTAATTATAAAGGGGTATACCCCAGTTTTGGTGCTGAATGGGCTGGAAATTGTCTGGACTGTTTGCATGAAAACCAGGGTTTGGGCTGTGCATCGTCTGAACTCCTCACTGAGAGGACCAATGGTGTGGGAAGGACTTTTTATTTAGGCAGTGCAGTCAGGACCTAACCCAGTGGAGAACACCTGTAAGGTTAGTTTCAGGAGTATTGTGCAGCTCATACTTCTTTTCCTCCAAATCCTAACTGTATTAATTTGACATGAACTGAGGGTTGCACATAGCCTTCACACTATCAATACTCTGCACTAACAAGATTAACATCAATGCTACTGCTAACCAGTCACCCAGGAAGTAAACTGTGGCAAACAATTTGCTGAAGGCCTGCTCGGTAAACCATGCAGACACGCTGCTGTTTTCTGTACACTTGTAAGTGAAGAATAGAGGCACAGTTATTTTATCTTCCGTGTCTAATAATTTCATTGATAGAGTTCAAAAGAGGCTAAAACTACAGAGGGCAAACTCGACTATGGAGTTTATCACATGGGGGACAATTGGAAGTGTAAACGGTGATTAACCTGTGATAAGCCTGCAATTGTGCTAATGGTTTTCTCATGACATCGTGTTCAAAGTGCTATTATCCTATGAATAACCAGGCAAGAAACAGCAGCAAATCATTCATGGGATTTTCCTATGAATGACTTTTTGCTCTTTAGTGCCTGGTTATTCCCTTGTTATTCACAGGATAATGGCTCTTGTGTTAATATCATTTTAATTGCATTTTAATGACAATTGCATGATTTTCATGGGTTAATTATTGTTTAAACTCTTAATTTCCTCCTGTGTGATAAACTCCTATATGTTGTAAAATTGGATACCTTGGCCTGAAGGCAGCTTTTTGCAATAGTTCTACAAAATGCTAATGACTCCCAATAAGCATGAATTACAAAAAATGTCAGATCACAAATGTGGCTGGGGACTTTTGGAAGTTGCACCACCTGAAAACAACTTTTCCAACTTCTGATCTTAGGATCCAAATACTAACAGGCTCTCATGGCATTATCAGACTAGTTCTGAAATACAGACAAACCAAAATAAACCTAAACTTTCTGCTTGCTTGGGGATTTAGTGGGGACAAAAAAAACCTGCATTTCTGGAGTGGCTATGACTAATCAGAACATACCTGTATATCTGATTAGCTTTGGGCAAATCTCTATGGAATTTCTTTTCAGGTCACCAAGCATACTGGCAATTCTAGAAATGCATGGACAAGTCATGAAACCAAGGCTAACAACTGTCTTTTCTCCCACTGTCAAACACAGAAAAAGGTGTTATGAGAATGTGGTCCCTGTTTCATGCTAGAACATGTTCAAAATTATTCCTGTTGAAATGAACTGAAAAGCAAAACAAATATCTTCTACTTCAAAGGGGAAGAAGAAGAGGGAAAATTGGGCAGGCAGATTTTTTTCACACACATGTCAATATTGAACATGTATAATCATTGCAAAGGGCAGTAGCATAATGGTGTGAGTGTTGGACTGCAACTCTGGAGGTCAGGGTTCAATTCTCCACTGAGCCATAAAATCCACTGTGTGACTGAGGGCCTTTACAGACTGCAGAAATAGTGCAGCTTGAGGCCATTTTAACTGTCCTGGCTCAGTGCTAGGGAATCATGGGAATTGTATTTCTTTCTGGGACATTGAGCCTTCTCTGTCAAAGAGCTCTGGTGCCACAATAAACTACAGTTCCCATGATTCCTTAGCCCTGAGCCAGGACAGTTAAAGTATCCTGTTGCACTACTTCTGGCAGTCTGTAAAGGCCCTGAGTTGGGGAACTCACATGCTCTCATCCACAGGGGAAGGCAATGACAAACCTCCTCTGAACAAATCTTACCTAAAAAACTGCATGATAGGATCACTTTAGGGTCACTATAAGTCAAAAATGACTTGGAAGGCACACAACAACTGGTGGTGCAGTGGTTAAATGCCTGTACTGCAGCCACTCACTCACAAACCACAACATTGCGAGTTCAATACCAGCCAGAGCTCAGCCTCAACTCAGCCTGGCATCCTTCTGAGGTTGCTAAAATGATCCCCAGCTTGTTGGGGGCAATTAGCTTACAGTTTTAAACTGCTTAGAGACTGCATATTGTGGTATAAAGCGGTATATCAATGAAGCTGCTATTGCGATTGCTAACAACAACAATAATTGCAAGGGTGACACGCTACATCCCACATTGATTAGATATGGTAGGCATGTCTCTTCTCCTCTTGGTCTATATTTAGCTGTGTAGATCACGAGGAGAAGAGACATGCCTACCATAGGTGAGTGATAAATCTCTAATAACTACCATGAGCTCTGTAATACCTTTGAAAGCTACCTGATACACAGAAATGTCCTAGTTTGGAAATTTTCTTCTCTTTTGCAATTATTAGAGCACAGCAAAGCAAAGATTAGAGCAGTTTCTTTGCTACCAAGCCTACTATCAATAGTCAAAATAAGGTACATTCCTAAGAAAAAATCTATGCTTGTTATACATATTTATAGTTATACTGTTGTATATTGTTTTGCATAATTTGCAAACACTCTGAGACCAGTTGAAACTTTATTATTATATACAGCATATATTTATGTGTCTGGCTGGGTTTATATGCATATATGGGAATTAGAAGCTAACAATATCTAAATACTCTAAAGGCACCAGATCCCATCTGATCTTGGAAGTTAAGCAGGACCAGCTCTGGTTAGTAATTGGATGGGAGACCACCAACTAATACCAGGTGCTGTAGAGTATATTTCAGAGGAATGAACTGGCAAGACCACTCTTGAATATTCCTTGCCTTGCCTAAGAAAAACCTTAAGAAATTAATGGGCTTGCTGACAGGCGACTGAAGGGGCATGCATGCATGCATGCACATATACATAAAGAAGTTAAAAAAGAGGGAAACAGCTTTTAAATCCCTCTAGCCAAGCTCTCTTTCCAGATGTATTTAGCAAATGGGTGTTAATATCAACTTCATACATATAGCATTCAGCTTCACACACACACATCATTTTGATCTTAATTCCTATATACGTAATGTTAATGGAAGTTAGCCATAAATCCTTCTCCATCAGTATAATGCATCCTTTATACTTGTTTATAACTGTATAACAGAATAAAACAAAAGAAAAAAAACCAGACCAAATTCATAGTTATTCTTTGCAGCAGTGCCATTCACAGCTGCTTTTAATGTGCAGATTAGGGATGGATGAATATACTGCCTACAGGCTTGGTTGATATCACTTTCACCTTTTTCCAGTCTTAAATTCATTCTGCCCCATTTCTGCATCAGTCTGTGAATGTTTTTTTTTTAATTTGCACAAAAAAAATTGTATGCATCGTCATGCACATGTCTCCTAACATGTGCATTTGTGGATGAACTTTTTCCTAATGCAATGAATTTCTGCACATTATTTTCCATGGCATATACATTTCCGAATGATCAGTTCCCTAATACACACATTTGTGTGTTCTTAAAAAAGAGAGAACGGTTGTGTTACAAAATTCAGAGAAGTTTAAATGCTGACAGATAACTGCTTTTCCATTTGCACATTGGTTCAGAAACAGAACTGGCCAGCTCTGTTTGTTATTTCCTTATATCTCAACTGAGTGAGAGTGAGATTATCTCAGGTATCACATGCTGTGAGATGTGAGCAAGGTATTGGAAGAGGTAGCCTGTTGACCTTATGTATAGTGAAGAAATTCAACTGTCATGGGATGGTAAGAGTGTACATGGGATGGTTAGGGTGCCATCTTGTCCTTTGCCTCAGACAGCAACATGTCTTGAGGCACACCTGTTTGGAAATAGCAAAATCTTTCTCCCACAGCAGTTGAGATGTCAGGAGGTGGCAATATTTATTTTTCCTTGGGCAATTCTAGACTAGAGGCAAAAGTGCAAATGGATCTTTCCGGGCCTCCCGTATGAAATGCAGTGATGTTGAAAGCTTCACTTGTTGAAATTTTACTCATCTTGTAGCAGGGTACAGGAGACATGCCAGAAAAGAGTTGGAATGGAATCTTGATTTCCTAGTTATTCTTTCAACCATGAAGGTGATGTTTTAAGGCTGAAACCCTCTCTGATTATGGACTTACGCAGGCAAACTCTCGACCTGACTTACCTAAGAATAAAACATCTAGGCCTCACTCCCACTATGATTTAAAGCGAACTGCAGATTGGGTTATATGACCATTGTTCCCACTTGAAACCAATTCTGATCCTATTGAGCTCAGTTGCAATCGCAGTCCAAATGATGTTCCTATTAGCAGCCAACCTAGAAATGCTTGTGAGGAGCAGTCTGGCAGGATGAAGAAGCAAGAGACATGGTTTTCTTTTTACAGATAATTGACTCCATTGAAGTAACTTGATGTTCAATTTATTTCCAAGTGTCACTGACTCAACAACTGCAGTACATTTACTGGGTTCTTGCATTATGTTGGCTTCTTTTAGAAGTAACTTCATCAGGGGGCTGATGCTGCTATCTCCTGTTAAGCAGCTTAAGGACAAGGAGACAGTTAATCTCATTTGGTGAGATCATTGCTGCGCTATGACAAGGGTCATCGACTGGCTTTTCTGAAGAAAGACATCATCAAGAGTAAGAAACTCCTACTGTTGAAGACCTAGCAAGCACAATGTGGCCTTGAAGCTTCCTCCTCTAGGAACCCAGCATAAAATGACCCCTTTCTTCATTTTTTTTGTATTGCTTTCTTTGATGCAGAACTACTTTATTAGTTCCTTGGAAGTTCCTGCTAGGAGCACAGCTAATAGGTTGAAATCTAGGATATTTCTTTAAGCCCCTCATAGTTAGGGAGAAGAATGCAGTAGTGACCAATGCCACCTGAACTTTTTTGCACATACAGAAGACAGAGCAGTTGTAGCTTCATTTGAAGCCCCAGTCCCTTAATCCTTATATTTTAATAAGTAAAATGGATTCCTGGATAATGGGACAAATGATTTCTATTATAATTTTGTATTCATTTTTGTAAATCCATTTTTGCTTCTTCACTCTACCCATTAGGTCTTTTTCTGAATTATACCATGACATTCTTTATCACAGGAATAAGGAACAGATGTTTCAGTCTACTAACTTCCAAGTGGCCCACAGTCAATAGCAAGAGTACTTGGGAGCTGAAGTATATAATATCTGTGGGGCTAAAGGTTCCCCATTCCTCTTTTTACCAAGTGGGTGAGTCAATCTTTCCCTAGAAGCTGTACCCATAAATCATCCTTCACCTAGATGGTTTTGACAAGTTTAAGCACAGTTATGATGTGTCATGAACAAAAGTGGTTTTTCTCACATTCCTCTTCCCTTTTCACTTGAGTCTCAGTTCTATATAATAGCAGCAGAAATTTTGTGGTCCTCCAAATACAGTTATCCCTCCGTTTCCACAAATTCTTTATCCATGAATTCAACTACCCATGGCTTGAAAGTATTCACATATATTTATGAAAGTATATATAGTCCAAAAAGCTTTATATAAGGGAGACAACTTTGTTTCCATTGTATTTAATGGGATCTGAGCATCCATGGGTTTTGTTACCTACAGAATGGGGGTAGTGGGGGGTTCTGGAACCAAACCCCAGCTGATACCAAGGTCCCACTGTATTGCTGAACTGCACCACCCCAGATTTCTCATTGTAAGCAATGCAGTGTAAGGCTACTGAGAGTTATGCCCCAAAAACAGCCAGAGTGCCATATGATTCCCAACCTGCTGTACCCACTAGGATTAAGACCTAACTGGGAAGGCAAATATATGAGTACCCAGTTAACATAAAATCAAACACTAACCACTGATATTTAAAGACTTGGAAATCTTTGATTTTTTTTTTACAAAAGTAAGCACACACTCCAGCATACATAATTATGCATAATTGAGCATACATAATTATGAATTTACCCAACTGCAGAACCTTTTCTTTAATTATCAAGCTATCAGAAAAATAGAAATGACAGAGAGAGAGAGAGAGCTCAAAGTCAAAATGATGAACTGAAATGAAACAATTCATGAAAGTACAGGCATCCCTCGATATTTGTGGCTTTTGGATTCGTGGTTTTGATTATTCACAAGCCCCTAGCTGTGTGTGCATACACTGCTCACTCTCCGTCTCTCCCAGGCTTTTCCCCTGTGAGTGAGGGAAAAGCTGAGGATGGAGGGAACAGCCAGGAGGGTGCATGCACACAGCTTGGGAATAATTAAGCTCCCCACAAATTCTAACAGGGGACAGAGAAAAGGCAGATCTACTCAACACCTTCTTTGCTTCAGTCTTCTCAGAAAATGAAAAGGCTATTCAACCTGAGGAAAATGGAGCACAGGACACAACATGGGAAATGCAGTACAGAATAAGTAAAGAGGAAGTACAGGAATACCTGGTTAATCTAAATGAATTTAAGGGCCTTTATAGACTGCCAGAAATAATACAGCTTGAGGTCACATTAACTGCCCTGGCTCAGTGTTAGGGAATCATGGGAATTTTATTTTTGTTGAGACATTGGACTTTCTCTGTCAGAGAGCTCTGGTGCCACAATAAACTACAGTTC